GGAGCCACTGCACTCAGAGCAGCTGAAACTGAATCCTGAGTCATCGAGGACCCACTGCACTCAGAGCAGAAGGATTTCCAGATCCAAGAGGTGGCCTGAGTCCCAGGAGTTATTCCACCCAGGAGATTAGGAGCATAAGACCACAGAGACCTCTGGACTCTGAGGAGCTCTGCAATAAGCAAGATAACTGGAAATACAGACTCCAGTTTTACACAGTGAGGGCAGGTACCACTAGAGTTAACCAGATGGCGAAAGGCAAGCGCAAGAACATAAGCAACGGAAACCAAAGTTTCTTGGCATCATCAGTGCCCAATTCTCCCAATATAGCAAGCCCTGAACACCCCATCACACCTGAAAAGCAGGATTCAGAATTAAAATCACTTCTCATGATGATGATAGAGGATTATAAGAAGGAATTAAGTAACTCCCTTAAAGAAATACAGGAGAGTACAAGTAAACAGATAGAAGCCCTTAAAGAGGAATCACAGAAATCCCTTAAAGAAATGGAAGAAAACACAAAGAAGGAATTAAACAAAAACATTCAGGACCTGAAACTAGAAATAGAAACAATAAAGAAAGTTCAAAGGGAGACAACCATGGAGATAGAAAACCTAAGAAAGAGATCAGGAGTCACAGACGCAAGCATCACCAACCGAATACAAGAGATAGAAGAGAGAATCTCAAATGCAGAAGATACGGTGGAAAATATTGACACAGTTGTCAAAGAAAATGCAAAACGCAAAAAACTCCTAACTCAAAACATCCAGGAAATCCAGGACACAATGAGAAGACCAAACCTAAGGATAATAGGTATAGATGAGAATGAAGATTCTCAACTTAAAGGGCCAGTAAATATCTTCAACAAAATTATTGAGGAAAACTTCCCTAACCTAAAGAACAAGATGCCCATAAACATACAAGAAGCCTACAGAACACCAAATAGACTAGACCAGAAAAGAAATACCTCCCGTCACATAATAATCAAAACATCAGATGCACAAAACAAAGAAAAAATACTAAAAGCAGTAAGGGAAAAAGGTCAAGTAACATATAAAGGCAGACCTATAAGAATTACACCAGACTTCTCACCAGAGACTATAAAAGCCAGAAGAGCCTGGACTGACATCATACAGACACTAAGAGAACACAATTGCCAGCCCAGATTACTATACCCAGCAAAACTCTCAATCACTATAGATGGTGAAACCAAGATATTCCATGAAAAAACAAAATTTGCACAATATCTTCCCACAAACCCAGCACTTCAAAGGATAATTGATGGAAAATGCCAACACAAGGAGGGAAACTACAACCTAGGAAAAGCAAGTAAGTAATCTTCCAACAACCCCCAAAAAAGATACAAACATAACTTTACCTCTAATAAAAAAAATAACAGGAAGCAACAATCATTTTTCCTTAATATCTCTTAACATCAATGGTCTCAATTCCCCAATAAAAAGACGCAGACTATCAGACTGGATACACAAACAAGACCCAGAATTTTGCTGCATACAAGAAACGCACCTCAGTGACAAAGACAGACACTACCTCAGAATAAAAGGGTGGAAAACAATTTTTCAAGCCAATGGTCCCAAGAAACAAGCTGGAGTAGCCATTCTAATATCAAATAAAATCGACTTTCATCCAAAATTAATCAAAAAAGATAAGGAAGGACACTTCATACTCATCAAAGGAAAAATCTACCAAGGTGAACTCTCAATTCTGAACATCTATGCTCCAAATGCAAGGGCACCTACATACATAAAAGAAACTTTACTAAAGCTCAAAACACACATTACACCTCACACAATAATAGTGGGGGATTTCAACACCCCATTGTCAGCAATGGACAGATCATGGAAACAGAAACTAAACAGAGACACTTTGAAATTAACAGAAGTTATGAACCAAATGGACTTAACAGACATCTATAGAACATTTCATCCTAAAACAAAAGAATATACCTTTTTCTCAGCACCTCATGGTACCTTCTCCAAAATAGACCATATAATTGGTCACAAAACAAGCCTCTACAGATACAAAAAGATTGAAATAATCCCTTGCATCTTATCAGATCACCACGGACTAAGACTGGTCTTTAATAATGACAAAAACAATGGAAAACCCACGTACACATGGAAACTGAACAACTCTCTACTCAATGATGACTTGGTCAAGGAAGAAATAAAGAAAGAAATAAAAGACTTTTTAGAATTCAATGAAAATGAGGACACATCATACCAAAACTTGTGGGACTCCATGAAGGCAGTGCTAAGAGGAAAACTCATAGCTCTAAGTGCCTACAAAAAGAAACTGGAAAGAGCACACACTAACAAGTTGACTGCACAACTAAAAGCCCTAGAACAAAAAGAAGCAAATACACCCAGGAGGAGTAGAAGGCAGGAAATAATCAAACTCAGGGCTGAAATCAACCAAATAGAAACAGAAAGAACAATACAAAATATCAATAAAACCAGGAGTTGGTTCTTTGAGAAAATCAACAAGATAGATAAACCCTTAGCCAGATTAACCAGAGGGCACAGAGACAGTATCCAAATTAATAAAATCAGAACTGAAAAGGGAGACATAACAACAGAAACTGAAGAAATTCAAAAAATCATCAGATCCTACTACAAAGGCCTATACTCAACAAAACTGGAAAACCTGGATGAAATGGACAATTTCCTAGACAGATACCAGGTACCGAAGTTAAACCAGGAGCAGATAAACCATCTAAATAGTCCCATAACCCCTCAGGAAATAGCAGCAGTCATCAAAAGCCTCCCCACTAAAAAAAGCCCAGGACCAGATGGTTTTAGTGCTGAATTCTATCAGACCTTCAAGGAAGACCTAATACCAATTCTCTTCAAACTATTCCACAAAATAGAGACAGAAGGAACACTACCCAATTCGTTCTATGAAGCTACAATTACACTCATACCCAAACCCCACAAGGACCCGACAAAGAAAGAGAACTTCAGACCAATCTCCCTTATGAACATCGATGCAAAACTACTCAATAAAATTCTAGCAAACCGAATCCAAGACCACATCAAAACAATCATCCATCATGATCAAGTAGGTTTTATCCCAGGAATGCAGGGATGGTTCAATATTCGGAAATCCATCAATGTAATCCACTATATAAACAAACTTAAAGAAAAAAACCACATGATCATCTCACTAGATGCTGAGAAAGCATTTGACAAAATTCAACATCCCTTCATGATAAAAGTCTTGGAAAGATCAGGAATTCAAGGCCCCTACCTAAACATAGTAAAAGCAATTTACAGCAAACCAGTAGCCAACATCAAGCTAAATGGAGAGAAACTTGAAGCAATCCCACTAAGATCAGGGACTAGACAAGGTTGCCCACTCTCCCCCTACCTATTCAATATAGTACTGGAAGTCTTAGCCAGAGCAATTAGACAGCAAAAAGAAGTCAAAGGGATACAAATAGGAAAGGAAGAAGTCAAAATATCGCTATTTGCAGATGATATGATAGTATACTTAAGTGACCCCCAAACTTCCACCAGAGAACTCCTAAACCTGATAAACAACTTCAGCAAAGTGGCTGGTTATAAAATCAACTCAAACAAATCAGTAGCCTTCCTCTACATGAAAGATAAACAGACTGAAAAAGAAATTAGGGAAATGACACCCTTCACAATAGTTGCAAATAATATAAAATACCTTGGTGTGAATCTAACCAAGCAAGTGAAAGACCTGTATGACAAGAACTTCAAGTCTCTGAAGAAAGAAATTGAAGAAGATCTCAGAAGATGGAAAGATCTCCCATGCTCATGGATTGGCAGGATTAATATAATAAAAATGGCCATCTTGCCAAAAGCAATCTACAGATTCAATGCAATCCCCATTAAAATCCCAACTCAATTCTTCACAGAGTTAGAAAAGGAAATTCTCAAATTCATATGGAATAACAAAAAACCCAGGATAGCGAAAACTATTCTCAACAATAAAAGAACTTCTGGAGGAATTACCATCCCTGACCTCAAGCTGTACTACAGAGCAATAGTGATAAAAACTACCTGGTATTGGTACAGAGACAGGCAGGAAGATCAATGGAATAGAACTGAAGACCCAGAAATGAACCCACACTCCTATGGTCACTTGATCTTTGACAAAGGAGCTAAAACTGTCCAGTGGAAAAAGGACAGCATTTTCAACAAATGGTGCTGGTTCAACTGGAAGACAACATGTAGAAGAATGAAAATTGATCCATTCTTATCCCCTTGTACAAAGCTCAAGTCTATGTGGATAAAGGACCTCCACATAAAACCAGATACACTGAAACTAATAGAAGAGAAGGTGGGGAAAAGCCTCGAATACTTGGGCACAGGGGAAAAGTTCCTGAACAGAACTCCAATGGCATATGCTCTAAGATCGAGAATTGACAAATGGGACTTCATAAAATTGCAAAGTTTCTGTAAGGCAAAGGACACTGTCAATAGGACAAAACGACAACCAACAAATTGGGAAAAGATCTTTACCAATCCTTCATCTGATAGAGGGCTAATATCCAATATATACAAAGAACTCAAGAAATCAGACTCCAGACAACCAAATTACCCTATTAAAAAATGGGGTATAGAGCTTAACAAAGAATTTTCAACGGAAGAAACTCGAATGGCCGAGAAGCATCTAAAGAAATGTTCAGCATCCTTAGTCGTCAGGGAAATGCAAATCAAAACAACCCTGAGATTCCATCTCACACCAGTCAGAATGGCTAAGATTAAAAACTCAGGTGATAGTAGATGCTGGCGAGGTTGTGGAGAAAGAGGAGCACTCCTCCATTGTTGGTGGGACTGCAAGATGGTGCAACCACTTTGGAAATCAGTCTGGCGGTTCCTCAGAAAATTGGACATAGCATTACCCGAGGATCCAGCTATACCACTCCTAGGCATATACCCAGAAGATTCTCGAACATATAACAAGGACATATGCTCAACTATGTTCATAGCAGCCTTATTTATAATAGCCAGGAGCTGGAAAGAACCCAGATGTCCTTCAACTGAGGAATGGATTCAAAAAATGTGGTATATTTACACAATGGAGTATTACTCAGCTATTAAAAACAATGAATTCGAGAGGTTCCTAGGTAAATGGATGGAACTAGAAATTATCATCCTGAGTGAGGTAAGCCAATCACAAAAGAAGACACATGGTATTCACTCACTGATTATTGGATATTAGCCTAGAACCTTGAAATGCCCAAGATGCAACTCACAGGCCACATGAAGCCCATAAAGAAGGAAGACCAAGTGAGAGTGATTCGGTCCTTCTTAGAAGGAGCAACAAAATACTCAAGGGAGCAAATATGGAGACAAAGTGAGGGACAGAAACTGAAGGAGGGGCCGTCTCAAGACCACCCCACCTGAGTATCTATCCCATGTGCAATCACCAAAGGTAGATGCTGATGTGGAAGACAGGAAGTGCATGCTGATAAGAGCCTGATATGGATATCTCCTCAGAGGCCTTCAAGAGTCAGACATATTCAGAGGCAGATGCTCACAACTAGCCATTGAACTGATCATGGGGTTCTCAATGGAGGAGTTAGAGTGAAGACTGAAGGAGCTGAAAGGGTTTGTGGCACCATGAGGAGAGCAACAATACCAACCAACCACAGCTCCCAGGGTCTAAACCACCAGCCTGGGAGCACTTAGGGGGGGATCCAGGGCTTCAGCTGAATATGTAAAAGTGGAGGGCCCTGCTGGGCATAGGTGGAAGAAGAGAACCTTGACCTCATGAAGGCTGGATGCCCCAGGGGGTGGGAATTTTGAGGGTGGGGAGGTGGGAGTGGGGGGGGTGTAGATAGAGGTTACATCCACAGAGAAGAAGGAGGAGGGGCGAGGGTATTGGAGGTTCCGAGGGGGTGGTGGGGGATGGGGTAAGGGGACAACATAGGAAATGTAAATAAATCATCCAATAAAAAAAAAAAAAAAAAAAAAAAAAAAAAAGAGTGTTTTGAAACAGATGGCTATAAGCTATTGTAAACAGGCAGCTTTTGTGGAAATTTACCAGCCCGAGTAGTCATAGACCTTGTAAATAGGTAGCCTTGACAGACAATACCAACTTAGATAAGGACAAGTGAGTCATAGGCAGAGTCATAGTGACCTGTCCCCTGAACCTTCACCCAGCTGATACCTGGTTCTGAAAGATATCTGTATTCCCCCTGAACAGCCACACTCCAGTGTCATCCCCTTCCCCATATCCTGCCTTTCTGTGTTTATAACCCCTGTGTGAATGAATTATGATTTGAGAAAAAATAAATAAATTATTTAAAAAAATATTTTAAAAATTTCATAAGAGTGTTTTTATTTTTTTCTACTCCTGGGAAATATATATAAATAAAAATATATAGAAATATAATACATATATCTATTATTAATAAGTAATATATATTATATGTACGAATGTTTATAAATATCATATAATATATAAAACATTATATAGTAATATATTATATAATAAACAAATATTATCTATATGGTTAAAATGAGAAATTGAGTCATGCTATTGGAAGCTTAGGTGGATATCAGTGAGAGCCAGTCCTACTAATTTGCATATTTATTGGCATGTCTAACTGCTCATACTCCTCTGGTTATGATATATACTTATTAGATAATTACCATTCATTACTTATAAGCCTGAATGGGAAAATATCACACATTGTAGACAATACCATCTTGATATAGAATCTTTCTTTAGAGGAGATTCAACATCAACTATTGTTTTACAGTGCTTGCCACATTTTGATTTTTTAATCAGATAAAATGCATTTTAAGAGTGTAATGATTTTCTTTGAGTAATTTTTTTCAAGTGGCTCAATATTTCCCTTTATTTTCCACCACCATTGATTTTTGTAATATGTGCTTGATCACTTCATGACTTATATGTTGTAAGAATATAATTTTATGTGTATGTATATTATATGCATATTTACTTTTAGTCAACACTGTCACTCATCAGTGTGTGTGTGTGTGTGTGTGTGTGTGTGTGCCTATAGTTAACACTGCCACTCCTGCAATGAGACTTAACCAGTTTAAGTAACTATCTCTAGGGCTTCCTGGTCTTGTCATTTGAACAAGTTAACTTCTCTTTGTTTTTGTCTTTTAATACTAGGCATACTAGTAATACACAAACATGTAATTTAATGATACACAAACATGTAATTTTGTGAAGATTAAAGTAATTAATACATTTAAAATATCATATATAGGAAACTAAAATGTTATTTAATATTAACTGAATAAATCATATAAAATTGTTAGAAGTTCTATTGAAATAGTTTCTATACTTTGAAAGAAGTAAACAAAATGAGTTTTATATAGTTGCCGTGAATTAGAATAACTTCATGTACTGATTAATACAAGGTTTTTTTTTAATGTCAAATATGTTTGATTTTGACCTTCCAGATGACATGTATGTGGACTTACAAGATTTCTTTATGAAAGTGAAAGATACTCCAAGCTTTAAAGATTCTGTAGGTACGTGAACACTTCTGGTTCAAGAGAGTGACTAGAAAATTGCTTTCTAATCTATGAAAATTTACATTAGATGTGTAAAGACTTAAGTGTGTGTGTGTGTGTGTGTGTGTACACACATGTGGATAAGCATGGCCATGTGGGCGTCCACTGAGGATAGAGACATTGAGTCCCCTGGAGCTGGTATTACAGGTGGTTGTGAGTCCTTCAACATATGTAATGGGAACTGAGCTTGGATCCTTTGCAAGAGCACTGTGTGCTCTTAACCACTGAGCCATATCTCTAGCTCACAGATGTGTGTTTTTAATTGATAAGTAATTTATAGCCATATACTTTGTCCTTTAAAATATGTAATTTATTGGTTTTAGTCACTAATAACCTGTTATATAACCTGTTTTATAACCTGCCCCAGCCTTCCCAGTACCTGGGACTACAAGCATTCACTACCATGTTCAACTCATCTTGTTTTATAACTTCCATATTTTCTTATAGATCTCTTATTTTTTCCAGGTCTCACAAAAGTATTAACATACCAGGCTTATGTCCTTAGATGCACTGGTTTGAAATGTCCTCTTCTGTCAGCTATTCAGCTAGTTCTTGTCTCGGGACTTAAATCTTTACTTCTATTCTGTGACTCATGTGTTTCCTGAATCTGTTTTTTTTCCTTGCTATAATTTATCCTGTAGTTTGCCAATGTTCATTTTCCATGAGATTCAAAGACAGGAAACATGAGAGTTTTGAGTTTTGAGTCTTCAAGTGCTTTTAAATATCTGTCTTTTACCTTTATCTTCTTGGTTATCTGTCTGGTATATTTATTACTTTTCTTAATGCTGTGACAAAATACCAGACAAAATCAGCTTGAGGAAAGAAGGGATTGTTTTAGCCTGTAGTCATTTGAGATCCAGTCCATCACAGTGGGGAAGGCATGGCAGGAGGCACATGAGGCAGCTGGGCACATTGAGTTCACAGCCAAGAAGCAGAGAGAAATGAGCGCTGGTGCTCAGCTTGCTTTCTTCGTTTTATTCAGTTAGAGACCCTAGCCTATGGGATGGCACAGCCCACATTCAGGACGGGTCTTACCTTTTCAGTTTAATCTTTCTGAAACCCCTCCCCCCACTCCCATCGACCTACCCAGAGATGTGTTTCCATGGTGATTGTAACCCTGTCAGGCTGAAAGTCAAGATTCATGGTTACAAACTGGGTAGTAAAGGCTACATCTATTAAAATGCTTAGCATTTAGTAGTTGTTAATAAGTGGAAGATGATTCTATTGCTGGAGTTGTTTGCCTTCCCATATCCAGCCAGCCACTCTTTCTACTTAGTCTAACTTAGTCTAATACACACACACACACACACACACACACACACACACACACACAGAGTATATGCATTATCAGTTGTGGTCAGCATGACCAAAGCTCGAAGAATTTTCCTTTATCAGCTGAAGTCTGGCAATTATGTCTCACAAGAGCAGTATTTTTTGATAACTTAGAACAAATTAGTGGCAAGCTTGCATTTAATCCATCAGGTTAACTCTTTTGTTGCATCATCTATTTTGTTCCAGCAACACAGCCTTAAGCTAGACAATGCAGTGTAGTGTTGATTTAAAGGTTATTTGTAAAGCTCCTTGATGGCCTCAGAGACCACATATGAAGGATTAAATGGCAAAAGGGATAGCTTGCCTGAAAAGGTATGGTAGTTAAAAGCTTTGGTTTTGGAGCTGTATTGCCCAAGCTTAAATCTCGTTTTTACCACATAACTACCAATGTACTCTTCAGCAAGTCTCTTAATTTTGCTAGCCTCAGTTTCTTCATCTGAAAAATGAGACTAACAATGATCATGTCAAAGATTATTGTGAGATTCAGTAGTTAAAGTGACAGTGCTTTGAACAAGCGTCTAGCACTAAAGTTTTAATAATTTTTAGCTCCTGTTTTAAAAATGATATTCAAAGTTTCATAAACTGTTCCATTGTTTTATGCAAACCGAGTCAAGTGGTGGGTGGTGCATGATGTCTGCTGTTGACACATTCTCTCCTGCTCTCTTTCCACAGTCACACAGCTGCTGCTAGCCACTCCCCAAGTTCTCGAGAAGGATCGAATTGACGTCTCTGACTTGAAGACGTTATTGTCGAATAATGACCTTCATTCAGCTAAAGCCATACTGACTGAAGTATTAAAACATGTTCCAGAGGATGGTTTGTACTTTTAATCTATCTACATTAAATGGATTGTTCTCTACAGGCAGAGGACGAATGTCACCGCCAGTCCCAACCTGGCTTACAGGTTCAGAGATTTAGTCATTATCTTCATGGTGGGAGGCATGGAAGTGTCCAGGCAAGACATAGTGCCAGAGAAGCAGCTGAGAGTTCTACATCTGGATTGACAGGCAGCAGGAAGTGAACTCTGTTGAGCTTCTGAGGCTTCAAAACCCATAACCTCCAGTGACACACTTCCTCCAAAAAAGCCGCACCTACTCCAACAAGGCCATACCTCCTGACAGTGACATTCCCTATGGGTCTATAGGGCCACTTTTATTCAAGTCACCACATTTCTTACCACAGCAGTGATTTTTTTCTCTAAAAGTTGTTTAGAGAAAAACATTGCCCATTATCATTGCCCTATAGGACAATTTTCTGGTCAGTTTTGTTTCTAACTACCACCTTCCTTGAAAATTTAATACCGTAGATATGCTATATGTCTGCTTGTATACTATAGATTATTATAGTATCTAAGATTTTTCTCTCCTCTAAAATTCAGTTTTATTTTGTGAGGGTTATATCATCCGTAATGAATGTATATTTAGTAAGGGTAGTGTACTTTTTTGTGTGCCACTGAATCCTGTCTGTTAGTCTTTTACTTAAACATTAACACACTTATATAACTAATGTTGGTATATAGCCTCTTCTCGTTTTCCTGTAACAGGATTGGTACTTCACAGGTTTGCAAGCAAGCAGCTACTGAAGGGTTTTATTTATGGAAGTGATCAGATATTCTTCTAACAAGAAAGACCTCTTTTATCAAATTGTAGAAAGTAAATGGAAAAAGACAAGATTGATCTCATAATTTTTTTTAATGATGCTATTTTGGTAGCATATATTATCATGAATATGGTAAAATCAATAAATATTTGAAAAGAAATATAATTATACATTTCTGATAATGTAAGCAACAAGAGAGAAGAAAGTGTTGATTTGAGTGCTGTCTTGAATTCTAATGTACTTAGAAACATTTCCTCAGTTAAATTTTTCTTTACATTACAGAAGAAGGCAAAATTACTGTTGACGAATTTGTGAACAAGTTCACAGATATCTTGAGAACTCTAAAATCTGAACGTGAGTTTTCCTTAGAATTTATTTATTTTCATTAATTAATTTGAGTATTCACTTTACAACGGCATCATGCCCCCTCCCTCCTCTCCTCCCCATTCTGCCCTTACAAATTCCTCCTCCCAATACTTCCTCCCCTTCTCCTAAGAAAAGGAGAAGCTCCCCTTAGGTACCATCCCACCTTGAGGCATCCAATTTCAGCAAGACTAAGTGCTTCCTCTCCTACTGAGGCCCAACCCTGCACTCAAGTTAGGGGAAGGGGCTCCAGTAACAGGTAGCAGAGTCAGAGATGTACCCTGCTCCAATTGTTAGGGGACCTACATGAAGACCTACTGCACATCTGATCCAAATGTGTAGGGGGCTAGGTCTAGCCCCTATGATCTTTGGTTGGTAGTTCATTCTCTATGTGTCCCATGAGCCCTTTTGGTTGGTGGTTCAGTCTCCGTGAGCCCCCATGGGCCCAGGGTAGTTGGCCCTGTAGGTCTTCTCGTGGTATCCTTAACCCCTCCATCTTGCTCTTTTCTATCCCCAACTCTTTCATAAGACTCCCCAGCTCCACTTGATATTTGGCTGTGGGTCTGTTTCTGTTTCCATCTGCTGCTTGGATGAAGCCTCTCTGGAGACAGTTATGCTAGATTCCTGTCTGCAAGCATAGCAGAGTATCATTTTCCACATGCAGTGGGTCTCAAATTGAGGCAGTCAATGGTTATCCATTCCCCCAATCTCTGCTCCATCTTATCCCTGTGTATCTTCTAGGCAGGACAAATTTTGGGTTGAAGGTTTTGTGAGTGCATTGATGTCCCTCTTCCTCCCCTGGAAATCCTGCCTGGCTACAAGAGGTGGCAACTTCAGTCTCCATATCCCTCTGCTGGTAGGAATCTTAGCACCTCCATAGACTCCCCAGAGCCTCCCTGTCCCAGGTCTCCAGCTAGTCCTAGAGATGCCCCCACCAATTTCCATTCTCACTCAGCCTTCTCTTGCTTCTTCTCTCCCCACACCTGATTGCTATCCTCATTCCCCTCCTTGCCCTCTCTCCCACCCAGTTTTCTCTCCCCACCTACCTCTGATGACTATTTTGTTTTCCCTTCAGAGTGAGATTCATGCATCCTTCCTTGGGCCCTCCTTATTACTTAGTTTCTTTGGATCTATGGATTATAGCACGGTTATCCTATTCTTTATGGCTAATGTGCATGAGTACATACCATGCATGTCTTTCTGGGCCTAGGTGACCTCACTCAGGCTGATATTTTCTACTTCTATCCGCTTACCTGCAAATTTCTTGATGTGCTTGTTTTTAATAGCTGAGTAGTATCCCTTTGTGTAAGTGAGCCACATTTTCTTCATCCATTCTTCAGTTGAGGGACATCTAAGTTGCTTCTAGTTTCTGGCTGTTACAAATGAAGCTTCTATGAACATAGTTGAGCAAGTGTCCCTGTGGTATAATGGTGCATCTTTTGGGTATATGCCCAGGAGTGGTATAGCTGGGTCTTTGGGTAGAACTATTCCCAATTTTCTGAGATACTGCCAAATTGATTTCCAAAGTGGTTGTACAAGTTTGCATTCCTACCAGCAATGGAAGAATATTCTCCATACTCCACATTTTAGCCCACATGTGATGCCACTTGAGTTTTTGATCTTAGCCATTCTGATTGGTATAAGGTGGAATCTCAGAGTCCTTTTGAACTGCATTTCCCTGATGACTAAGGATGTTAAGCATTTCTTTGGTCATTCAAGATTCCTCTGTTGAGAATTCTCTATTTAGCTCTATACCCTATTTTTAATTGGGTTATTTGGTTTGTTAGTATCTAATTTCTTGAGTTCTTTTTATATTTTGGCTATTAGTCCTCTGTTGGATGTAGGGTTGGTGAGGATCTTTTCCCATTTTGTAGGCTGTCATTTTGTCCTTTTGTCCTACTGATGTTGTCCTTAGCCTTGCAAAAGATTTTCTGTTTCATGAGGTCCCATTTATTAATTGTGATCTTAGTGCCTGAACCATTGGTGGTCTGTTCAAATGTTTGTCTCATGTGCTATTCCCCACTTTCTCTTCTATGAGATTTAGTGTATCCAGTTATGTTGAGGTTCTTGATCCACGTGGACTTGAGCTTTGTGCAGGGTAATAAGTATAGATCTCTTTTCATTCTTCTACATGCAGACATGCGGTTAGTCCAGCACCATTTGTTGAAGATGGTTTTGTTTTCCCATTGTATGGTTTTGACTTCTTTGTCAATTATCAGGTGTCCATAGGTGTGTGGATTTATTTCTACATCTTAAGTTCTATTCCATTGATCAACCTATTTTTTCATGCCAATGGCATGCAGTATTTATTACTATTGCTCTGTAGTATAGCTTGAAATCAGGTATGGTGATGCTTCCGGAAGTTCTTTCATTGTGCAGGATTGTTTTTAGCTATCTTTCGTTTTTTTGTTTTTCTATATGAAGTTGAGAATTACTCTTTCAAGGTCTGGAAAGATTTGTGTTGGAATTTTGATATGAACTTGAAGTTCCTGTCATACAGGTCTTTCACTCACTTGTCTAGAGTTAGATCAAAATATTTTATATTATTTGTGGCTTTTGTAAAGGATGTTGTTTCACTAATTTCTTTCTCAGCCTGTTTAGCTTTTGTATAAAAGAGGGCTACTTTTTTTTGGAATTGATTTTGTATCCAGTCACTTTGCTGAAGGTGTTTATAAGTTGTAAGAGTTCTCTGATAGAGTTTTTGGGGTTACTTATGTACACTATCATATCATCCGTGAATAGCAATACTTTGACTCTTTTCTTCCAAGTCTGTAGACCCTTGATGCCCTTTAGTCATCTTATTGCTCCAATACTATATTGACTGGATAGGGAGAGAGTGCGTAGCCATGTCTTGTTTCTGATTTATTGGAATTGCTTTAAGCTTCTCTCCATTTAATTTGATGTTGGCTATTGGTTGGCTTTATATTGTTTTTATTATGTTTAGTTATGCACCTTGTATCCCTGATCTCTTGAAGACTCTTTTGTTTCCATTAATTAATTAACTTATTTATTTTACATCCCAGTAGCAGCCCCCTTTCCTCCCACTTGCACCTCATACACCCCATTCCTCATACCCCCAATGCCTTCTCCTCCGAGAAGGGAGAGACTCCCTGCCTCTGTCAAATCATTGCAAGACTAGGCATATCCTCTCCCACTGAGGCCAGACAAGCCAACCCAGTGAGGGAAACAGGATCCACAGGCAGGCAACAAAGGCAGGGGCAGCTCCCACTCTAGTTGTTGGGGGACCACATGAAAACCACACCTGAATCCTTGGAGGCTCTCCAAGACTTTTTACATGGAGGAGTATTGAATTTTGTCAAAGGCTTTTCAGCATCCAGTGAGATGTTCATGTGATTGATTTTCTTTAAGTTTGCTTGTTTGGTGGATTGCATCAAATCATTTTTATTTATTGCATCCCTGGAATGAAGCCTACTTGATTATGGTGGATGATGTTTTTGATGTGTTTTTGGATTCAGTTTGCGAGTATTTTATTGAATATTTTCCCATTAATGTTCATAAGGGAAATTGGTCTGAAATTTTCTTTGTTCTTTGAGTCTTTATGTATTTTAAGTATTAGGTTGACTGTGGCCTTATAGAATGAGTTCGGCAATGTTCTTTCTATTTTGTGGAATAGTTTGAGGAATATTGGTATTAGCTCTTCTTTGAAAGTCTTGTAGAATTCTGAGTTAAAACCATCTGGCCCTGGGCCTTTTTTTCTTTTTTCTTTTTTCCTTTTCTTGTCTTTCTTTCTTTCTTTCTTTCTTTCTTTCTTTCTTTCTTTCTTTCTTTCTTTTTTTGGTTGGGAGACTTTTAATGACTGCGTCTATTTTCTTTCTTTCTTTTTTTTAAAATCAAATTGTAATTTTTACTTATTCATACAGGGTTTATAAACACAAAAAGGCAGGACGTGGGCAAGAGGATGACACCAAAGCGTGGGTGTTCAGGGAGAGTACAGATATCTTTCAGGACAGAAGTATTGGTTGGGTGGAGGTTCAGTGGACAGGTCACTATGACTCTGCCTATGATTCACTTGTCCTTATCTAAGTTGGTATTATCTGCCAAGGCTACCTATTTACAAGGTCTATGACTACTCAGGCTGGTAAATTTCCACAAAAGCTGCCTGTTTACAATAGCTTATAGCCATCTGTCTCAATGTTTTTCCACAGAGACCCAAGACTTGGTGTTAGTATGCATGTATGACAGGTCTATTGCTGATTTTAGGCCTATGGCTGATTTTAGGCCTTCAGTGTATAAGCAAGGCTGCCCCTGACATATCCTCCCTTCTCTAAGTATAGAAGGGCTGTGGCAATTCTAATCTTTCGAAGGCGGGGATAGAGTCCTGACCTCCAGTAATTGACAGGGAGTTTGTAATGGCTCCGGTCCAGCTGTTGTTGTCCAGTGAGGCATGAGGGCCATGCCCATCCAGATGTCTTTTTCCTGGAGAGGGGATATTTTTAACATCAACCCCTATGCAGTCAGGCTTGTCCCTCAGAGAACCTAGAGATATTTTTAACTTTTATTTATATTCCCTTGCAGTGCTTAGCCTTGCAGCCTAAGCAAGAATTCAAATCACCAGTCAGAGGGGGTTCTGGGTGGCCCCTCTCTGCTTGGTCTAGGGGCGAAAGTCCCCTCTTTTAGGTTGGGCATAGATGGGTTTTGGGAACACCCTGGATAGAGTAACAACCTCATCTTGAGTCTCGTGGTCCTCCATAGCTAACTTATGATAATGTATCTGAATAGGTTTTGCTACCAAATTAATTATCTGTTGTTTCACAAAGTTAGTCAGCCTATTTAAGGCCTGGGGACCAAAAGAAATAAGCAAAAATAACCCAGTTAATGGTCCCAAGATGGGAGGAAGTAGGGTTGACAACCATGGAGAGGTTGAAAAACAGTTCTTGTACCAGCTCTCATCTTTCTCTTTCTCTCTCTGTCTTTTCTCAGGGCCTTCTCTGACCTTTTTCATGCTCTCTTTAACCATCCCTGTCTTGTCTATGTAAAGGCAACATCCTTCTTTAAGGGCTGTGCACAGTTAAGAGCTGTACACAGTCTTTTCTATTGTAAAAGGGTAAATCAAGTCCAAAAAAGTCCTTTGCAATTTTTGGAGGTCTCTTTGGACAACGAATCGAGGGATTTCTTCAGATCAGTGATGTCAGTCTCTAGTTGTTTGATGTTCTTGTCAATGGCCCGTCAAAGGTCTAAGTAGTATAAGTCCAGAGGCCAGCATCTGGATTAGAACTTCTAACAGCAGACATCATGGGTGATTCATTTTTACCTGGAAAGGAAAAAGAAGGGAATTCTCAGAGACTTCTCTTCCCTGGATGTCAATTGTTATTCATCTTATTTATGGTTGGGCCTGGCTTTGTGGGGGTATCTATTTATTTCATTAATCTTTTTGGTAGCCATTTAGCTGTGCCTTCTGTGATATCAAACAGGCATATCAATCCTTGGCCCCATAGGAGAACCGGGTCTGGGCCATTCTCTTTAAGGGTAAGAGGGTCCTTCCACATAGCTGTGGCATAGTTTTTATTGACTTTTAATGACTGTATCTATTTTCTTAGGAGTTATAGGATTACTTAGGTCATTTGCCTGATTTTGATTTAACTTGGGTAAGTGGCATCTGTCTAGAAAATCATCCATTTTGTTTAGATTTTCAAGTTTTATGGAGTACAGGCTTTTGAAATAAGACCTAATGATTCTTTGTCTTTCCCCAATTTCTGTTGTTACATCTCTTTTTACTTCTGATTTTGTTAGTTTGGATACTCTCTCTCTCTACCTTTTAATTAGTTTGGCTAAGTGTTTGTCTATCTTGTTGAGTTTTTCAAAGAATCAGCCTTTGGTTTAGTTGTTTTTTCATATTGTTCTCTTTGTTTCTAATTTCTTGATTTTAGCCCTGAGTTTGATTATCTCCTGCTATCAGCTCCTCTTGGGTGTGTTTGATTCTTTTTTTTTCTATAGCTTTCAGGTGTAGTTTTAAATTGCTAGTATTTGGAATTCTCTAGTTTCTTTTTTTTTTTTTTCTTGCCTCGAGTTTATTTGTAAAAACAGCATAGGACACTGGTCATCTGCAAATAGTGTGTGGGTAGGTGTGTCACGGCAGTCCATCTGTCTTCACGTTGGCAGGAGCCTTTTCTATGGGGCCTTCACAGGGGCCTGGGCACCTTTGGGAGCCTGGGCTGGAGCTTTAGCCTGGGCCTTAGCTGGAGCTTTGACCTCTGCCTTGGTTTGAACCTTGGGCTTTGGTTGGCAGAGCCTACGACCCTTGGCCATGTAGCTTCGAATCCGCTTCCCAAGCTT